GAAGAAGAAGGAGGAAGAGGAGGAGGAGGAGGAGGAGGAGATTGGATTTATACCCCGCCCTTCACTACCTGAAGGAGTCTCAGAGCGGCTTACAAACTCCTTTCCCTTCCCCTCCCCACAACAGACACCCTGTGAGGTGGGTGGGGCTGAGAGAACCCTGACACAAACTGCTCTTTTTCAAGGACAGCTCTGACAGAACTATGGCTTGCCCAAGGTCATCCAGCAGGAGCAAGTGGAGGAGTGGGGGGATCAAACCCGGTTCTCCCAGATGAGAGTCCGCGCACTCAACCACTACCGCAAACTGGCTCTTCCCTCCCTCCCCCACTCAATCGCACAGCTTCCCTTACCCCAACAGATGCCCCTGTTGGCCAAGGGGTCAGCGCCAAAGTTGCACTCCAGGCCTTTGTGGGGATCACAGGGCACCAGCTTGTCACAGTCTTCGTTGAGCTGCCGGGCACACACCTGACAACAACCACAGTTATCCAGCACCCGGCTGACTCCAGGGGGGCAGTGAGGCAGGCCCGGGGGGCAACGGCATGTGGAGGAGCAGCGACAAGATACCTGGAGAGGCAGAGAGAATGGGGCAGTAGGGTCATTTGCCGGGCCCCGAGAGGCTATTACCCCACAAGCCGCAAGAAAGAGTTCAGAGCACCGACAAGGTCCTTCCGTGTGGGGGGGGGGGGGGGGGGTGGGACAAAAACACGCTTTTGGTGGAGAAACCTCACTACTCTGGATGCTCCGCTTCCCTTGATTCTGCAAGCTGACTTATGAAGAAGAAGAAGAAGAAGAAGAGATTGGATTTATACCCCGCCCTTCACTTGGGAGTCTCAGAGCGGCTTACAAACTCCTTTCCCTTCCCCTCCCCACAACAGACACCCTGTGAGGTGGGTGGGGCTGAGAGAACCCTGACACAAACTGCTCTTTTTCAAGGACAGCTCTGACAGAACTATGGCTTGCCCAAGGTCATCCAGCAGGTGCATGTGGAGGAGTGGGGAGTCAAACCCAGTTCTCCCAGATTAGAGTCCGCGCACTTAACCACTACACCAAACTGGTGACCTCATAGGGTTTTCTAAGACAACAGACATTTAGAGGTGGTTTGTCATTGCCTGACACCCCTAGTATTCGTCCGGGCTCTCCCCTCCAAATTGTAGCCAGGGCCGACCCTGTTTCGCTTTCGAGATCTGACGAGATCGATCGGTCTAGCTTGGGCATTTCCGTCCCCTGTGGTTGTTGTTGTTGTTCAGTCGCACTGACCCGCGCCTGCCTAGCTTTTTAAAAGTTTGTTTTAAATAGGCGACCCCAAAATAGTTTCCTACGAGATCGATCGGTCTAGCTTGGGCATTTCCGTCCCCTGTGGTTGTTGTTGTTGTTCAGTCGCACTGACCCGCGCCTGCCTAGCTTTTTTAAAGTTTGTTTTAAATAGGGGACACCAAAATAGTTTCCTACATGGCGCTGCATGCCACGGAGTCCTAGCATTCCCCCCCCCATCCCAAGCAAATCCCAGTAATCGAATCCTCGCCAGGATCAAAGCGCCCGCCACAGAGGCACTGGGTCCAAAGCGTCGGTAGCGCGGCAACCCCCGGAATCCAAAAATAAAACCTCACCTTACATTCGGTGGGGTTGTTCTATTCCTGGTCTCCCCCCAGTATGGAACAACTCCACCGGACTTAGACGAGTATTACGATCTGGCCCGATTCTGGACCGCTTACCGATGCTAGGGAACATCCAGAAGGCGGGCTTGCTGAAGGACCCGACGAGAGGCACCCACTCTCTAGGCACACGCGCGTACGGGTTTGGGAGAAACTTTTGGGAGAAACCCAGTCAATGTTCCCTCTAAGCTGTGGAGTCTTGTGAGCAATAATTCTTTTTTGTGAGCTACTCGCATTAAAGTTGTGAGTGAGCAATTTGACTACTGCATAAATTAGTTTGATCTGGAGCCACCCTTCCTGAGCTAGGACAAAAATGTGGGAGCCGGGGGCTAAGAAGCTGTGAGCTAGCTCACACTCACTCAGCTTAGAGTGAACACTGCCCCTGACCCAGGGCCGGATTTAGACTTGCTGAGGCCCTAAGCTATACAAAACCCAGAGGCCCCCTACTGTTTTAAATTACATCAGCTGGTCTCAGAAAAATTTAAAATATATACGCCTTTTTAATATTTGAAATCATATCGTCTTTTAATTTTTATTAACAAAAATAATAAAGAATGTGTTTACAAAATCACAGAAATAATCACATAATTGAAGGGTTTTAAAATGACAAATAAGGCTCCAGCAGATTGCGAGGCCCTAAGCTGTAGCTTATTTAGCTTATGCATAAATCCGGCACTGCCCTGACCCGCACAGACGGCCGAGGCGCCAGGTCAGCCAGAGCCCAAAGACTTGTGAGCGCCCTCCAACCTCTGATCGAATCTCACGACGAGTTCCGCCGGCGGATGGCTGATGCACGCAGTCATTGCGAACAACAGTAGCACCCTTCACTTACCGGAACGGAGTAGAGAAAGTCGGCTACCCATTACTCACCTGAGAGATGCATAGCAGGAAAGCAACGCTGGCCAGGGAAGGCAGCTGCATCACTGTTTCATGAGAGAGAGCAAGAGAGAGAGAGAGAGAGAGAGAGAGAGTGAGAGAGAGAGCGCTGCGAAGCCGTCCCCGCGATTTCTCGTCTCTATAAACTCCTGCGTACATCCACACCCCCCTTTTTTGTGCAACTTTCACTACCTATAAAGCAACTACGTTGTTTCTGTATTTATATTTCCCCGGGGCCCCTCCCACCTACCGGGCTAGGAGCCAATAGGAACCTCCTCGTTGGCCAATAGCAACGGTGGCGCACTTCCAAACATTCCAGGGGAGGGGCTTTGGGAAGGTGGGAGGGGTCGGATGAATAGAGTCATTCATAAAATTAGAAGGCCAGTGCATTCCGGGGCGATGCCGGTAGTCGCGCGCGGGCCAAGATGTTCCTCTAAGCAGACTAACGTTTTTATGGCGTCTGCTGAATACTCCACAGGGCACATCAGCGCATAGACATACCAGTGTGAGGAGCAGCCCAGGCCACAACCATTCCTGTCGTGCAAAAAACAACTTTGGGTGAAGGAGGGGGGGGAATACGGAAGAAAAATAAACAGATGGAGGCCCACATTTTCTTTGCCAGAGCAAGGTTTTGATCAGGGTATGAAGGCAGATCAAAGGTCGTGTAACTGCAGAGTAACAAAGGCATAGGGTTACTCTGTGCTGGGGTGGACTTGGGGTGCAGAAGACTCAGCTGGAGAGAAAGGAGACACTGCTGTGCTCCTCCTTGCTGTGAACACATCAGGCTTGAGATCGAATCCGCATTTGCATTTTTAAATTAGTTTCATGCTGCGGTGATGCAGTTTTTCTCTATGCTTGTTTGAATGTTGTTTGGAGAAGATTCTTTTAAAGCAGTGCAGAGGTGCAATGACAGTGGAGCTGCCCCGAAAGGACGATAAACATACGTGGATGTGCAAAAGTATGCTAGCACTCTTGAGGTGTGAAAAAGACACCAAATGTAGACAGCTATTTTGAAGACGGAGTCAAAAGGCTAGGACACCGGTGGGAAAGACAAATGCAGATCCAGCCTCATAAGTCTCCACATAGTGAGGCAGGGAGCCACGACTATCTTCATTTTAAAAACCGTCTCCATGGCATCTTAATTAATCCGCATGACGGAGTGAGCTCCCGTCTCTAGTTCCAGCTCCTGCCAACCTATCAGTTCAAAAGTGAGACATTGCAAGTAGATAAATAGGTACCGCTTCGGTGGGAAGGTCACAGCGTTCCGTGCGCCTTGGTGTTTAGTCACGCCGGACACATGACCACGGAAACATCTTTGGATAGCGCTGGCTCTTCGGCTTTTAAACGGAGATGAGCACCGCAACCCTAGAGTCGGACTCGACTGGCTTTCGAGCAAGGGAACCTTTACCTTTACCTATGCCTCTTTCAAACGGCTTCAGGAAATATTTTCAATTTGGTCGATTTAAGTTTCCATCACTAGATGGCGCTTTAGGTCTAGTTTCACACAGATAGTTCTCATCCATTGCTATAAGTCACAATTTTTTCAAGAGTCCTGACTCAACTATATGTCTCCACAGTGTTCTATTCTCTCTTGTTTTGTAACAAATGTTCCCCTCTCTTTTGTGTCCGTCAATTTATGCTGCCTATAGTTATTTTCCACACAACGTCCCTCATAGGGATGGAAAAGTCTGGAACCTACTTCCGGAGTGCCGACTCTAGGGTTGTGGTGCTCATCTCCGTTTCAAAGCCGAAGAGCCAGCGCTGTCCGAAGATGTTTCCGTGGTCATGTGGCCGGCATGACTAAACACCAAGGCGCACGGAACGCTGTTACCATCCCACCGAAGTGGTACCTGTTTATCTACTTGCAATTTCTTGCTTTCGAACTGCTAGGTTGGCAGGAGCTAGTAGAGTTCCAATAAAATTCTGGAAGGGATTTTTCATTAGGGTCTCTGGGCCCAAATACACCACTCTGGGACTGGAATGAGAGACCATGGAGTGGAATGACAGCCCCAGGGTGTAGCAGGAGTGTTCATGGACTGTAATAAGAGCCCACAGAGTGGAATGACAGCCCCTGGAAATAGCAGGAGCGGTCTAGAAACAGAATGAGAGACCACTGAGTTGAATGACAGCCCCTAGGGGTAGTAGAAGTCTTCTGCCACCGGAATGACAGGCCCCAGAGTGGAATGACAGCCCCCGGAGGAAGCAAAAATGTTCAGGGATTGGAATGAGATACCATGGAGTGGAATGACAGCCCCTGGAAATAGCAGGAGCGGTCTAGAAACAGAATGAGAGACCACTGAGTTGAATGACAGCCCCTAGGGGTAGTAGAAGTCTTCTGCCACCGGAATGACAGGCCCCAGAGTGGAATGACAGCCCCAGGGTGTAGCAGGAGTGTTCAGGGACTGGAATGACAGGTCCCAGAGTGGAATGACAGCCCCAGGGTGTAGCAGGAGTGTTCAGGGACTGGGATGAGAGACCACAGAGTGTAATGACAGTCCCTGGGTGTAGCAGGACTGTTCAGGGAATGGGATGAGAGGCTCCGGAGTGAAATGACAGCCCCAGGGTGCAGCAGGAGTGTTCTGGAACTGGAATGAGAGACCACGGAGTGGAATGACAGTCCCAGTGTGAAGCAGGAGTGTTCAGGGACTGGAATGAGATACCACAGAGTGGAATGACAGCACCTGGAAGTGGCAAGAGTGGTCTGGAAATGGAATGAGAGACCACGGAGTGGACTGACAGCCCCAGAGTGCAGCAGGAGTGTTCAGAGACTGGAATGAGAGGCCACAGAGTGGAATGACAGCCCCAGGGTGTAGCAGGAGTGTTCAGGGACTGGAATAACAGGTCCCAGAATGGAATGACAGCCCCAGGGTGCAGCAGGAGTGTTCTGGAACTGGAATGAGAGGCCACGGAGTGGAATGACTGCTCCAGGGTGTATTCTCAGAAGTGTTACCTGTTCCACGCGCAGGGCCGGAGAGACAGGCAGAGATCAGGAGTCTCAATGCGTGGATGAGACGATGGTGTAGGGGGGAAGGGTTCAGGTTTGTTAGGCACTGGGATACTTTTTGGAACAAGAGGGAGCTGTACAGGCGAGACGGTCTCCACTTGTCCCGAGAAGGAACCAGGCTGCTGGCACTTAAAATCAAAAAGGTGGCAGAGCAGCTTTTAAACTGAATATTGGGGGAAAGCCGACAGGAGATGAAAAGTCTCTGGTTCGGGTTGGCTCATCTGAGAGAGGTGAGGGGGTACCGGTTGCTTTTCTACAGGGAGGTGGATTGAAATTGTCCACAGAGGCCATGGCTGGTGACATGGACTGCCGGACAACGACTCGAGATAGCAAGAGGAAGGATGCAGGCTTAACTTGTAAGGGAAATTACAGCTGTTTCTATACAAATGCTAGAAGTGTCCGAGGTAAAATCGGGGAGTTGGAGTGCTTGGTGTCGGAGGGAAAAATAGACATTGTGGGTATTTCTGAAACTTGGTGGGATGAGGAAAATCAGTGGGACACAGTGATTCCCGGTTATATATTATATCGGAAGGATAGGGGGGGAAGGGTTGGAGGTGGGGTAGCTCTGTATGTCAGAGAGGGTATAAAGTCTAGAAAGATTGAGAGGCTAAGTGAATTGGATTCGCTTCTGGAAGTTCTATGGGTTGAAATAGGGGGGCCAAAAGGAAACTTAACACTGGGAGTTTGTTATCGCCCACCAGATCAAAAGATAGAGGAGGATTATAAAATGATGAATGCCTTAAAGATAGCAACTAGACAAAAACACTGTGTAATAATAGGTGATTTTAACTACCCACACATTGATTGGGTCAATATGTGTTCTAGTCGGGAAAAAGAGATTGAGTTTCTAGACACTCTAAATGACTGTGCTATGGAGCAGATGGTCACGGAACCTACCAGGGGAGAGGCGATCCTTGATTTGGTCCTAAGTAACACTCAAGACCTGGTGAGAGATGTAAAAGTGATTGCACCGCTTGGAAACAGTGATCATAATGTTGTTGAGTTCATCATTTGTACAAATAGAGAATTGGCCAAAAAGACTCACACAACCATTTTTAACTTTAAAAGGGGTAATTTCTCTGATATGAGGGGACACGTGGGGAGGAAACTGAAAGGAAAAGTAGAAAGGGTCAAAACAATTGGGGAAGCTTGGGATCTATTTAAAACTACGATCCTAGAAGCTCAAAAAATATATATTCCGCAGGTTAGGAAAGGCACAAACAGGTATAGGAAAAAGCCTGCATGGTTAACAAACAGAGTAATGGAGGCTGTAAAAAGTAAAAAGAATTCCTTTAAGCAGTGGAAAGCTAGTCACAGTGAGGCTGATAAAACGGAACACAGGCTATGGCAAATAAAATGCAAGTCTGAGGTCAGGCAGGCAAAAAGGGAATATGAGGAGCATATAGCAAAAAACGTAAAAACCAACAATAAAACTTTCTTCAAATACATTAGAAACAGGAAACCAGCCAGGGAGGCAGTGGGGCCCTTGGACGACCAAGGGGTAAAAGGAGTATTGAAGGATGATAGGGAAATGGCTGAGAAGCTAAATGCATTTTTTGCCTCCGTCTTCACTGTGGAAGATGAGAAGTGCTTGCCCACTCCAGAACCACTGATTTCAGGAGGGGTGTTGGAAGACCTGAGTCAGATTGAGGTGACGAGAGAGGAGGTCCTAAAACTGATAGACAACTTAAAAACTGAAAAATCACCAGGCCCAGATGGCATACATCCGAGAGTTCTGAAAGAACTCAAATGTGAACTTGTAGATCTCCTGACAAAGATATGTAATCTTTCCTTAAAATCTGCCTCCATTCCTGAGGATTGGAAGGTAGCTAATGTCACTCCCATCTTTAAAAAGGGTTCCAGAGGAGATCCGGGAAATTACAGGCCAGTCAGTCTGACGTCGATACCGGGTAAATTGGTGGAAACCATTATTAAGGAAAGAATTAGTAGGCACATAGATGAACAAAACCTATTGAGGCAGACTCAACATGGGTTCTGTAAGGGAAGATCTTGTCTCACTAACCTGTTAGTGTTCTTTGAGGGGGTGAACAAACATGTGGACAAGGGGGATCCAATAGATATTATTTACCTTGACTTCCAGAAAGCTTTTGATAAAGTTCCTCATCAAAGGCTCCTAAGTAAGCTCAAAAATCATGGGATAGAAGG